CCCACCAGCAGTGGGTGAATGTTCCCCTTTCCCCACATCCTCTTCATTTATTCTCTTGATATTAGCCACTCTGACTGGGGTAAGATGAAATCTTAAAGTGGTTTTAATTTGCATTTCCCTAATTACTAATGGTGTTATACACATTTTAAGATGTTTCTTAGTCATCTTTCTCTCTTCTTTTGAAAACTCTGTTCACATCCTTAGCCCATCTTTTAATTGGATTGCTTATTTTCTTGATTCTTTGTTTTTTGAGTTCTTTATATATTCTGGATGTTAAACCTCTGTCAGATGTGTCACTGGTGAAGTTTTCTCCCAGTCTCTGGGTTTTTTCTTCACTTCCTTGGTTGTTTGTATTAGATTTTAAAGCTTCAAGTAACAAAGCTAAGCAGCAAAGCTATGCACACAACAAGGTAACCTAAAAATGAGCTGGTGTTCACAGTCTCTAATTGCTCTCACTATAATGGTGATGATATTCCTGTTGATAAACCACTGGTAAATCCTAGTTATTTAAAATCCTTTGGGGGAAATCTTAAGCTTTCAGTTTTCAGGTAGTATGTTCTTTATATTTCATTGGCAATTTGCAGGTCACATAGTGCTTTTTTGATATTAAAATTTTCAGTCTGAACTCACTGACTCTGTAAATGCTATGCAAATTATGGAAAGGATGGAGCAAATTGTTTATGACCATTTTGGTTTATCTAGAAACCTTGTTAGAGTTTGAAGACTTGTGATAGCAAGCTACAAGCTCACAGGTACATTTTATTAAAAATAACTTTTTATTTACAACAATTTCAGGTTTCAGAATTACTGTGAAAATACCATAGAGAGTTATTCTGTGTGCTACCTGCACCCGGGTTTCTTACGTTAATATAGAGTATTTGTCATGACTAATGACCCAAATTAAATCATCACTGTTCACTGAAATCTTCATTCAGATTTCCTTGGTTTTTAACCCATTTTCTCTTCTGCCTCAGGGTCATACTCAAGAGACCACATCCCATCTAGTGGCCAAATGTCCTTTGACTATGACAATTGCTCAGAATTTCCTTGTTTTTGACACACTGGCAAATGTGAACGGTATTGGTCAGATGTTTTATAAAATGTCTCTCAAGTGAAATCAGTTTAATATTTTCCTCATTGTTATTTCCTGTGGCAGTATGGTTGTGGGGGAGGAAAGTTCCAGAAAGAAAGTACCATTATTTTCTCACCATAGCAAGACTAAACACTGCATGGCTTATTATTGGCGACAAGCCCTTAGCCTTGACTTGGGCTGTGTTCCCCAAGGTCCTCCACTGTTCTGTTTCTTTCCCTCTCTTTTCTCTACACTTTGGAAAGAAGTCACACTGCTCAGCCCACACTTATGGAGTGGGGAGTTATGCTCCGTGTCCTTGAAGTTGTATCGCTACATAAATTATTCAATCTAATGAGCATTTTAAATTTTAAGAAGGTAAAGGTATTCCATAAGTACAAATATGAAAGAGGAAGAGGGGCCACTGGAGAGATGGCTCATTAGTTAAGAGCACTTATTGCTCTTGTTGAGGACTGGGATTCCATTCCCAGCACCCACATAGTAGCTAACAACTGTCTGTAACTCCAGTTCTAGAGGATCTGATGCTCTCTTGTGACTTCTGTGGGCACTGCATACATGTGTTGCACTTAGACACATGCAGGCAAACACTTATACACACAAAAATAAAATATTGTAAAAAAGGTGGAAAAAGGGAACTGTATGTGAGGAAGCCCCAAACTAAGGAAATAAAGGTGAAATTTACAGCTAGGGTCACGGTACGGCCATACTACTCAGTAGGAGGAAAGCCTCACAATGAGAGACTGATCCCATGTGCTTTTTTCCTACTCGCCCTGTTAATTCAGAAGAGTGAAGGTTTGAACGCTTGGAAGTGATAATGAGTCCACAGTCTTTTACTTTAACGCTGGGATCGTCTCATGAATACAGCACACTGTCTTCCTGACAATGACTACTCTGCACATTGGTGTCCAAAATGCATAGAATAGCTTACAGGTTTTCAGACAGTATACAGTGTCTTTTGGAATAAATGCACATAGATATGTTATGTAAAGAGACACATCTTTTATCTAAGAAGAAAAATAAAGTAGAAAGCAGTTGTATTTATTTGCTAAAGATATGCATAATTAACAGTTCATGAATTCACCTTTCAACTGCAGTGTTCCCTCAAAACTCCCTAAAGGTCGACTTTGCTGCTGGGAATGGTGTGCACACCTGTAATCCCAGCACTTGGAAGGCTGAGGTAGCAGATTAGGAGTTTGATCTCAGCTTGGCTTACACAGTGGGGCTCACTTACAGAAAACCAGCCAACCAAACAACACCTGCTTGGTGCTGACGTATTTGTTCTTTCTCCTTCCCTAGTCTCCTTGACTTTTCTGTTGCATTTGACTTTGAAAACTAACGTGGTCTTGTAGAGTTTTTTTTTTGTGTAAACAAAAGCTCAGTGGTTTAAAAAGAAATCATTCATTTCTGCTTTTTTATCTGTGGGGACAATTGGAGTTTATCTAACTATCAGACAGGTGGGTCTGCTCCCTAAGGAGACCCGATGGTCGGCTGTGTGTCACTCCCCTGTATGTCTCTCAGTCTTCTCAATCCAGCATTCTAGTTGTGGCTTGATTGAACCATGGGCTTTAGTAGAAGGACAAAAGAGCAAAGGTGACATGTCAGATACTTTAAGAGCAAGGCTAAGAATTGGCACCATTTTGTGTTTGTCTATGTGCCACAAAGTGAAGCAAGTCACATAGATAGATAAGGAACCATTTCTTTAGTGAGGCTGTAGGTACTAGGTAGGAAATGAAAATTTGGGGTCAATAATATAGAAATGCAGTTGATCCTAGTCTTGCTTATTAAAACATTCTCTTCTTGTTCTTAATACTATGCTGTCTTCATTATTTCTTTCTTCACCTTTATTGTTACATGTAGTGTTTATGTAAGAATCAGCTTTTCAGTCCTGTTTGCTCTTCTTAAGAAAGCTCATCCAGGTTGAGATTTCCTGGTTCCCTCATAGCTATTTCCAGTTTTCTGCTGGGCATTTCCTTATTATCATTTGAAATCACCTAAACTATAGCTTCTGGTCCTATACTCTCCCTTAAATCAATGCTCTTCACAAGACAAAGGCATATTAAGTTGTCCAATGATTATATAAACTTATATGTAAACCACAAGCAAAACAAAGCCTTGTTAATTAACACTTTCCCTGAATGCGTAAGACTACAGTGTCTCTAACATAGAAAGGAAGTACTTCTGAAAGGAAACCATAGTGACAAGAGGAGTCATTAAGAGCCACAGTTTGTTTTCCCCCTAGAGGTCAAGGGGTCATGAGCACCGTGTTTGTGCAGTTGAGATCATAGGATGTGGGTAGATCTGAGGATTTCTCCCCCCAGTAGATTGGGTCTAATCTAGTGGGTAGATTTGAGGAAGGAAAATTTTAGTTTGCTATCAGAGATAAAGAACTTAACATGAGGAGCAGAAACAGAATGAGCCGTTTGCCTTTGCTTTTTGAGACTCTCCTCTGTCCTAAAGTCTCACTCCCAGCCCTGCCAATAATCCATCCAAATCTAGTTCACCCAAGGCTCATCCCAAACCTTCATCTCTCCACTCTTTCCCAGCTGAGCAAATGCTATCAGTTTACTCAGCTCACATTCCTCCTTTCCGACCCCCTCCATCTATGAGCTTTTTGAAAGTAGAAACAAGGCATACTAATTTATCACTTCAATCATGAAATAGAACTCTGAGGTTATACTAAGCATGTAGCAAATTCCTAGCCTACTATTCAATACAGATTTTCTAATTTCTAGTCAAGACTTTGGGTGTGGTGAGGATTCAATGACAGATTGGTTGTCTTAGGAATCTGATAAATTGACCCTGAATTCACATAACCAGTCTTTTGGTTTTAATGAAAACATGAACTAGCCAACCATGTAGTCACTGGCCATCCAGGCTTATTTCTTCCTGCTCATCAAAGAAAGACACTGAATTTATAGATCTTCTAGATCCTTACACTTGTAGTCCAGCTAATTTTGAAGGTAAAAGAACAGTGAATATTTCTTCTTTTCATCATGTCTAAAAACTACCTAAAACAAAAATCAGCTGATGAGCCAGGCATAGTGGCTCATGCCTTTAATCACAGCACTCAGGAGGGAGAGGCAGGCGGATCTACATGAGCCTGAGTTCCAGGCCAGCTGGGGCTACAAGGAAGCCTTGGTCTCAATGCCCCTTTCAAAAGAAATCAGCTGGTGAATTGGAATCCATGATGTGGAGGCATATGCACGACCCTAGAGAACTGTCACCCTAGTTTGTATTCAGGTCTGCCTGTTGTCATGGTTACTGATGTACTCAAAGCGATTTTCCTCCCGAATCACACTCTGCAGACCTTCAACGAAAAAAGCTGTTCTTCCTGCTTCATTTTTCACTACCTACGAATTGACGCCAAAATAGCAACAATTGCATTGATGTTTTTACACTTTCTACAAGACTTTAGCATAGAAAAGAAAGAACAAATTTAATCCAAGTAAGCACCTATAACCGAGGGCTTACCACATTTGTTCTGCAACAATTCATTGAGTACCTAGGTATTGAAGACTCTGCCAGGATTAGAGTCCAGCCCCTGCTCTGTGGGTATCAGAGCATGGTGAGGGACAGTGATGAGAAAGGATGTTTCCCTGAGATGTGACCAGTGATGCAGCAGAAACAGCGTAAGAGAGTCATGGGAATGCAATAAAGCAGTGCCTCATTAAGTCTGAGGTGCTGCTGGGACCAAATCAAAGGGAGGCACCCAAACTGGGAGTCTTGAAGCATTGTTCCTAGAAGTTTAGCAAGGTTATTTGTTCATCATTCTGCACATAGAACCCCAATGTGGCTCTGTAGGTCAGGCATATGGGGCAGTGGCGTGAGCACAGCAGAGTCATTGCACACAGTGTGCCATCTGTCAGCTGCCTAGACTCACACACTACTCTCCTTTCTGTTCTGGCCACAGGAACTCCTTCACAGACATCCTTCGTGCCATCCTGCTGTCCTTGGAAGTCCTTATTGAAGACCCAGAGCTTCAGATAAATGGCTTCATCTTGATTATAGACTGGAGTAATTTTTCCTTCAAACAAGCTTCTAAGCTGACACCTTCTATCCTTAAACTTGCCATTGAAGGGTTGCAGGTATGTTCAACAAAAGGGCAATGCCTGATTACGTGTGACCGTACTTTTTCCTTTTATTGATATTAAAGCGGTATGTGTCCCTTATAGTGATAAAGGAAATGGAGATAAACCTCATCTGTGAGTGCTCTGTATTTTCACCTCCGCCTGAGTTTAGATGTTTGTTTTGTAATAAGCCTTCATTTTCATTAATACTAAATTGCTGTTACTACAGGCACACATTACCTGCCATAGCAATAATGAGTAAAGCGTGGAGATGTTTGGCTAAATCCACCGGAGAGTTCACACAAATTACAACTAGGACACATCTGTGTTATGAGCATGTCTCACATAGAGTGGCAGGGGGCTTTCTGTTTTCAGAAGCATGTTTGAGCCCTAGAAATGCACCCTGTGGATCTTTACTTCCCAGAGTGTTCCGTGCTCCAGTGTTTGTGTTAAAGCATTGCTTCTCTGCAAATAAAAAGAAGCGGATGACGCTTGGCCCATGGTTATATGACCTGTTGCCAGGATCTGTCTTTTGGGGAAAAAGTTTCAGTGTGTAGCGTAGCCAGTCAGTCTTCAAGGACCCTTTCATGGGTCACTGGTTCCCTGAAAAGTAGCTAACTCAGAACTTTAAGCTAAGCTGCTTGGCTTCTTGATTACACATGAACAAAATACAGAATTAAGGGCATATTTTATGGGTATTAAAAATCTGCATAGCTAAAACACACCCCTTCTTAATTTGGAAGGAAGACTGACACAGAAGCGAGCAGTTCTTTCATATGCAGCTGTGCCCAAAGCAAGTATAGATGTTGGCTACTTCTCAGGTCAAGCAGTCATTCCTCATGCCCTTCAAAGCACATGAGTTCAGCCACCACAAAGAACTGACGGTTCTAGTTCTTAAAATATGGCTTGTTCTTATTTGCCTCTAGCAAACATAACCCGTGTAGGCCTCTGGTGAACATATACTTATTGAATGGTATCTTATTTCATAAAAATAGTTTCCCATTTCCCAGAGAAGTGGAGCTGACATTTCAGGAGAGGAGCAGCCAAGTATACATGCTCCTAACCAACCGCCCTGGCTTTGAAGTACATTGTGGGCATGGTTTCAGTTACCTCTGCATGTAAAGACTTCATGCTGCAGCCTGAGGTGCCTCAAACTCCAGACCACAGCCCTGGAAACAACTCTGTCAGTTGTTTCCCTTTGCCTCTAACACCCTTTCTCTAGCTCCTTGACTCTCAAGCCCTGAGTATCTCTTCTCTCTCTTTAAGCTGATTGTTAAAGGAAACGCTAAGCTTCAAGATGTATCTAATGCTTGCTGGCCATATTTCTAGGAATTTTTGCATAGTTTCATATAATCCCATGTTTTATTTTTTAACAATTTTTAAATGTATACATTGCTGTAATTTAACTTCCATCCTTTATATGACTTTTATCACAAAAATGTCCTTTATCCAACCCTGAGATCTAATTTTATTTTCTGAAAATGTGTGGATTATATAATCGGTCCCTTGCTATCATTAGTAGGCCAATACGGGCCTTTCTGAGTTAATGCATGTGAACGTGTTTGAAAGGTAAAACTATACATAAATCTAAGCTATTCTTACAGGAAACACCAGCTGAGTCTTTGTAGGTCAGGATGGGTCTCAGGGAAGCTTATGTCAGGGACGAAGATGAATTCCACAGTGCCTTGTAGCTCCAGTTAAAAGATGCCTCTCTCAGGAAGAGAGGAGACTTGTGGGGGCAGAGTCAGGGAATCCCAGATCAGTGACTTCCTTTCATATGGCAAGGCAAGCCCCTTCAACTGTGGGAAGGCATCAGATTATTCTGGACCCAGGCTATCTGAGCTAACAGGCAGCTCTTTCTGGGAGTTCTGTCTGTTTGGGTTTTAGATCCTTGGAAAGTGACAGACCTTTCTGCATGGGTAGGAAGACAATGGTCCCAAGGAAGCTGGGCTCTGGAGCAACTCCTTATCTGGGATGTGGACAATCCCAACCTGTGCTAAATTTTGGCATGTGATCTTGGACATGAAGAAGCTACTAAGGCTACTGAAGGCAACTAACTCCATGCTTGCTCTACAGTAGGGAGCCTCTCTGGCCAGGAACTGGTGACTTTTCACAGCGAGCTAATCTCTCTCTGACTATTGGAACATTCAAACACCATGAGCCACACACCGTGGTCTCTCCTGGGAACTGTTCGTCATCACAGGGGTTGTCTCCCAGCCCCAGCTAGCTGTTAATCCTTCTGAAAGAGCCATCTGGGACCAAACAGAATTCACTCTTTTGTGGTCAACAGTGCACCACAGTGACCATCCCACACCTGTTAGCTACAAAGGCTCAAGAGAAATTACACAGTGGTGCTGGCTGAATGTAGTGGAGACAAGAAAAGCTACACAAGGCCACCGTCAATGACAGAAGGGAAGCCATACGCTTCCTTCTTCCCGTGCATCTTGAGAGAGGACTGAAGTGGCCAAGGTGTCTGCTGGACCTTCAGGAGGCAGCAAGGGAGGGATGGCCTATGTCCAATGTGTAGAACGTGATCTCACTGTCCTTCTACCTTTTCTAGTGTCAGTTTGAGAGATGAATTTATTAGGGGAATAATCTGACCATTTTGGTGCTTGGCCATCAGGGTTGGGATCTCAGCTATTTATAGGATGAGTCTAGGATTATCTGCTTTAAACTCCTGGAGATTTTAGGGCCCTGGAATATGATGTCTCTCTTACAGCTACACAGATAATACACTGACTCCTACATGGAGGAGAGACTAGGCCAGCTCAGATGGCTCATTGTTCAAGCAAAGAACTCAAGGCTGGTTTTGGTCAGTCCTTAGGCTGCAACCTGGTTCAAGAGGCCTGAGTTTTTGTGTTGTTTTTTCGTTCTTCATAAAGAGTTGTTCAAGGCTGGGCGTGGTAGTACATGCCTTTAATCCCAACACTCTGGATGCAGAGGCAAGAGGATCGCTGTGAGATCCAAGCCAGCCTGGTCTATGTAGCAAGTTCCAGGCTAGCTGAGGCTACAAAGAAACTCTGTCTCAAAAAGACACACAAAAAAAGAAGAGTTGCTCAAGATAGACCTTGACTGCCAGTTGTTCCAAGTTGGGCTCTTTGGGGAAGGGCTCTGAAGAGAAGGTTATCATGACAGGAGCCTGAGACAGTGCTTTCAGGTGAACAGGTGCTAAAGGGAGCTTTAGAAGAAGGTCCAGCAGAAGGGACAGTTCATCTACTTTGTCTGAAGCCCTCAGGCGTTCTGAAGCTGGGATGACCCTTCAGAGTCATCCCCAAATTGGAGTCAAGGATCTGGGCCTGAAGATTCTTGCATTGTCCCGTGTGTATACGTTGCTGCCCTGGGAAGGGTTGTGAGCCTGGTGTCTTCAGCCTGAGGTCCAGAGGCAGCTGCTACCTAAGGACATTCTCTGGGTAGGCTTCCCAGTGTCTGGGTAGTAGGGCAGAGCATCTCAGGCCACAAAGGAAAGACATTTGGAATACCCTGAAATGGGGCATTAAGGAGACTCACTTGCTCTAGATCTTTTTCTTGGCTAGCCACAATCCCAATTAACTCAAAGTAAAGCCAGTACTAGGTAGTTTTGAGGTGATGGGTGCTGTGCTGGCAAGTTGGTGCTGGTCTTCTCTTTAGGTTTTCTAATTGCATTTCTATGCTTCAGGAGGGAATTATTCTGTTTCTTAAAATAATCAAAAAACTACCACATGAGCAAGACTTTGGTTATATGCTTTATATGGGAATTAATTTATTATAGAAATCATATAGAAGACTGTGGTTTCATTTTACATTGATTAATTGATGTTTGGGTATGCACTTGCCCTGGAAAAAGGACAATTTTTAAGAGTCAGTTCTCTCCTTTTACCTTGTTGGTCCTGGGGATGAAACTCCGGTCGTCAGGGTGGGTGGTAAGTGCCTTTTCCTCTGAGCCCTCTCTTCTGCACCGAAGGCTGTTGTTTAAAGGTTCTTCACATTCCCACCTTAAAGTTGCCCTGTATCAGCCAGTCACAAGATGTTGACAGTATGTCACTGTGTCATCTTCCTTTCAGAGCAGTCATTGAGGAAATATTATTGAGACTTTCAAGTTATACCAGTTACGTAAATATTCTATGACTATTGTTTCAAAGAATTTTAAACAATTTTTGAGAAATCATTTCTTCTTGTCCTGATCTTTAAATGTGGTCAACGTTGTCTAAAACAACTATTGTAATTGTTCATTGCAACTTGTTTAAATTTTAATCTAATTTAACTTTGTATACCACCATTGTAATATGATAGTGTTATTCCCAGTCTCCTCGGGAATTTTGGAAGAATGAGCAGCACACTGATGTCCTCTTGAGCTGTGTAATGCTTCCAAAATCAGGTTTTGAGATTATTTCTTGTTAATCCGTGCAACCCAACTATCACAGTCACCACCTAGTGCTTATCGATGTGCAGCAAACCAGGTACTCAGACTGCTTACTGTGTTTTACTGAGGGAGAACGATGGCCTCCTGTCTTGCAAGCTATTTACAAAATAACTATTAAGGTCTCAAATATTTGTTACAGGTTTAGAGAATCCTGCTCTTTATTCAGTGGAGAAAAATCCAAGGAATGTTCAGTTTTTGTTTTGTTCTGATTTTTATTTTACTTTTGCTTTTTTCTCCTCTCATTTCCATGTTCGTGTCATCATTCCCTGACCAGTCTAGACAATTTATCAGTTTATTAACTCTTTGCTCAAGATTTATCGTATGACTCCTTTTTCTGTTAAAGACGTTTTCATAGTATTTAATCAACTTTGAGTCGCTTTCTTTAAGCAAGCTTTGAGCCAGTCTAATGGAAAGGAAGGTCTGTCTCTTTCACAGTTGTTTCCTGTTTAACCGTTGTATGCGGGGTGGGGGTCTATACATGTGTGCTTGTGTGTGGAGGCGAGAGGACATCCTCCACTGTTGTTCCTCTTTTTCTCTGAGGCAGAGTCTCTCACTGGTCTGGAAGTCACTCTCCTGGCTCTAAAGATGTGCCTGCCCCCACCCCATGATGCTATTACAA